CTAGTCCAAGTCTAAAAAGCTTAAATTTTGAGTGTAACTTGAAAAGGATTCAATACCTCACAACTTGAAGCTGAGAACTCCAAGCCCACTTTTTAGCTTAGGCGGGCCTGTGTTGGATTTGAGTTGTAACTCAAATTTCAGATTAAGTAAAGATCGAGATCTGCGTATTTTTTAGCAGGTGACTCGACCCGAACGTCAACCCATTTTTGACCCACGCTTGACCCATTTACCCGTTGATCCTTGGAGCCTACCCGAGCTGTCAAGCCGCATCCATCGAGTCATTTTTTGTGCCTGGAGTCATGCCGAATCCCTCGAGTCGAGCCATTCTTTTTTTTTAGGTATCTTATTTATTTGGTTTATTTATTTGTATTATTTATTTTTATGAGTTTTTTTCTTGAATTAATTTAATAAAAATAAATTTAAAATTTTAAAAAAATTTTGAGGAAAAGTTGAAAGTATTAATTTTTCTTGAAAATAAAATTTCTAAAAATATTTTTAATTTCTAAAAATTATTTTTGAGGAAAAGTTGAAAGTATCAATTTTTCTTGCAAATAAATTTTAAAAAATTATTTTTGAAGGAAAGTTGAATGTATTAATTTTCTTTGAACACAAAAAATTAAAAAAAAAATGATTTTAGGAGAAAGTTGAAAGTATCAATTTCCCTTGAAAATAAAAAAAATATAAAAAAAATATTTTTGAAAAAATTTTGAAAGTATCAATTTTTCTTAAAAATAAAAATTTCTAAAAATATTTTTGAGAAAAAAGTTGAGAGTATCAATTTTTCTTGAAATTAAAATTTTAGAAAAAAAATATTTTGAGGAAAAGTTGGAAGTACCAATTTTTCTTAAAATAAAAACCTCCAAATGCTTTAAAGAAAAGTTGAAAGTATCAATTTTTCTTGTACAAAAACAATTAGTTTTTTAAAATGAAAAGAAAAGGATCTATATCGAAAGTCAAATCATCATTCTTTTCTCTTTTTGAAAAATTTTTAATGTTAAATCATTAAATCATCCGACGATGGAACATCTGCAAGTGAAACAGTAGTTTTCTTACATACTCTTGAGGTGAGGAAACTTTTTTAATTTTCTGTCAAAAGTATTAGAGTTAATTAAGAATAATTTTCAATAATTAATTACTTAGTAAAATTTTTAAGACTTATTGGATAACACGAAATTAAGTTGATACCATCTTTCGATTAGCATTATGAGGGTACTATCTTGCATATTTTTGAGGTAATGAAAGTTTTTTAATTTTCTGTCAAAAGTATTAAAGTTAATTAAGAATAATTTTTAATAATTAATTACTTAATAAAATTTTTAAGGCTTATTGAAAAACACAAAATTAAGTTGGTACCATCTTTCGATAGGTGTTATGAGGGTTCTATAATTTTTTTCACTTATAATCGAACTCTCGAATCCTGTTCTAGTTAATAGACCCAAACTTATTCTTTTATGGACCTTTAGTCAAGTTTAGGTGTTCTTTAAAAAGATAAATTTCTTAGATGATTAATCGCACCTAAATAAAAATGATTGATGAAAACTCTTTAAATTAATATCTAATGATAGATCTTCAAATCTAGACGTTATAACATTATTTATTCAAATTTTTAAAAATTAGTCATGCCTTTTGTTTTTGTCTTCATTGACTAAGAGTATGAATTTTTCTCATAAATTTTCAATTTTGTATCTAGAAATAATTGCTTTGTGGTGTTTGAATGAGCAGTACGGAGTGAACGTGAAGCACCGGGAGTAATTTTGCTGATAGCCCATCAATTGGAATGGATCCTGCTCCTAGAGATGAGTAGCTGCAGTTGGATTAGACCAGTGATGGATGTTCACATTTGATTTTGGGGTTAATTAAAAGTGTAATATTATTTAACTAACATAAGACATATATGTAAGTAATATATTAATAAAAAATTATAAATTTATAAAATCATATATTTTATTAATTTATAAATAAAAATATAAAAAATAAAATATATCAAATAAATAATTGTATCTAAAATTATGAGTGATAGTTAAAAAAAAAAAACAAAATTTTCAAGAATTGAATCGAAACTAAATGATTTAGTAATCTCTTTTTCCATGTCGACAATCAATAAGTGAGTCAAAGAAAAAAAACTTAAATTTTTTTGTTTATTAACGAGAAATGTAAATTAAAATTTAAGTTTTTTTTAAATTAATATAATTGTAACTTAATATTTGTGATAAATCAATTAATTTTAAGCATTTGTGAATAATGATTGATGGATAAATTAAAAAGATAAATTTTAATATATTTTAATCTTTTAATTTGGAGAGCCTCTTTAAATTTATTTAATATATAATATATAAATATAAGAGTTTTAAAGAGATTTTTCAAGATCTTGGGGGCCAAGGCTGAAGTCCCCCGTTGGTTAAACGTACCCACCGCCCCTGGATTGGACCATATTATTACTTATGAGATTGTATTTAGTTGATCTACATATTTGTATCTTTGATGTTCCTGTTAGTGCTACATAGCATGCTGCTTACTTTTTTTCCGCTTAGTATCTGTTCAGTGTTGAATTGAGGATGATTATTATTATATAGCTGAGAGTAGTAGTTATTTTGTCCAAAATATGATCATGACGAGCAAGAAGCCATCCTTGAGTTTTCAACTGCGAAGCTTCTTTCTACTTTGATTGATCAGCTTAATAGACACAATTTAAACATCAATAGAGGCGTCGCTAAAGATATATTAGTCACCATCTGTGTATTTCATTAGGAATTTTCTGGTGTCAAAATTTTCCACGCATGGATGTTTTGCCCAAAGTACTGGCATCGTTATCGTAATTGTTGCTATTACAATTTACAATTAAATTGAAACGGACCATGACCATGACTTTTAATTTCTTATATTTATTCCAAAAATTTAAAATCCAAAAATATCAATAAGTGATTAATTTAATAGATTAAATTAATTTTTTTTTATGAAAAAATCTTGAATTCGAATATTATTAAAAATTATTTATTGAAATCATCTCGAATGTATAATTTATAATTATTTATTTTAAATTATTAAATACGATATATTTTATTTTGATTTAAGAGATTAAATAATTTATTTATTTTTAAAATTTAATATTAAAAAAAATTCAAAATCAACATTTCAGTTTCAATTCTCTGTTGAATTCAGTAAGTCCAAGTTTCCGTCCGGATTAGATGTCCAGCTGTCCAAGTGAGCCCTTCATCAATTTGATTGTAAAGAAAGTAGAATATCAGGCAGAAGTTAATTAGAAAAGAATTTGTTTAAAAATAAATACTGATAAGAAATAAAGTGAAAGAAAAAGGAGAAAATTTGAGGAAAACATGGGAGCTAAAATTAAAATTTGAAATCTAAGCGTTAACCGTTTTCTCCAGTTTTCAATTTGAAAGTAATTTTTATTAGGTACTCTGTCTCGTAAATAATGTTTTAATTTAACTTTTAAAACACAATTTTTTTTTTAATTTTGACTTTATTTTATTTTAAATATATTACTAATTAAAACAAGAGTCAATATATTTTTTTAAAATCTTGAATAAAGAAGTTTTTTAAATCTAATTTTATAAAAAAATTAATTTAATAAATATTTAAAATATTAATAATTTGATTGTAAAAAATAAATAAATCAGACATAACTTATGGACGAGAGGAGTACACGTTAACGCGTTTCTTCCTATAAGGCTGTAATAAAGTGAGGCCAAGGCATAAAGTTGGTTGATTGAGATTTTGGGACAGGGAGTGGGTGAGAGAGTTGGTTGTATACCCGTTTAAAAAGTCCTTGTGGATGACATTGGACCATAGCCAATGATTTTCTCCTTGAAAAGATGTTGTGATGAATGGTGTGAATTAACCCTTTGTTTTTGTTTGAGGAATGAATGATGTGAAACTTTTAACAGGCAATTGATCCTCAATTTTTGCTATTTTATTTATTGCAAGTCAAAGTTTATATCCTACAAAAACACTACAATTTTTCTTAATTACTGTAAAACCAGAATAGATCGATTACTCACGAGTACAAATTTTGTAACTGTCAAAGAAACTTAGATGCAAATGATGAAATGCTTTGATAAACAATTGACAATTTTTCCGCAATAATCACTCGTTTTGTTTGAACACACGTTTTGTTTAATTTGCTCAAAATTCAACAAGATTAAGAACAAAGGCAAAGCCGTAATTCATAAAGTCTTAGCTTTATTTTCCTAAAGCAACCAAAAAATCATGGCCGGCACTTCCTCTTCAGACAGCTTTTTTTTTTTTTTTTTTTTTTTTTCTATAGAATATTGTAGACAATGTAGTCTACGTTTGATTTGATGTTGGAACGTAAATCGAACGTAAAAGTTGCTATTGATTTGATTGTAGTAATAAATATCAAGTTTCATTTACTGGATACTTTAATTAGAGATATTTAAAAAATAGGATATGATATAAACACAAATATTGAAATTTTATGGTCCTCTCCTATTGGAGTCTTCTTTCGATTAATGCATGGGTGGAGAGTGTGGTTATTTAAGAATTTAAAAATATAAAGAAAATTAATTTTTTTCTTTTCCTCGTAACCAAAAAATTAGGTGTTGGTTCACAAGGTAAGAAAACTAAACAATTGGACCAATATCAGATTTCTGGTTCTGGCTTACTTATTATCAGGCAGGAGTTTCTTTACTTTTTTTTTTTTTTTTTTACTGAAATTCATTTCCATTGACAAATTCAGATCGTCTGTTTGTTCCGAGGAGAAGAGACTAACCAGATTCTGGCTTTTGATTGGGTCAAGGTAAACGTTGATGACATAAGACAAAAGGATATTAAAGTGCACTTCTTTTTCTTTTTTTTTTTACTTTTTTATAAAGTAGATAAGTCTACGCTGCTTTTAAGACAAAGAGAGTATCTTTGGTCAATATTCAATTAATTATGTGTCCAGTGATGGTCTCAAACGTGAAAATGATTAATCTCAAACGTGAAATTGACTAGGTAAATATATATATGTGTCGTGTTTGTTTCCTCTTCCAGCTAGGATTTTTATTGCATGCTACTTTTCAAATCTGTCGTCTATAAATATAGTGATAGTATTATTTTCTTATGGGGAAAGGAAAACGTAGGTGTTCGAGAGCTCCAAGATGAGGAGCCTTAGTACTACCAATCCCATTAATTTGATCGATATCTGTCTCTTCATCAGTATTTTGTTGGTAAACGCGGTGGTGACTCAGACTCAAAACAGCAGCAGCACCACCACCCCTGTTAATGTGGGAGTGGTTCTTGACATGGATTCCTTGGTTGGGAAGATTGGATTGAGTTGCATCAACATGGCCCTCTCTGACTTTTATGCTACTCATCCTCACTACAAAACCAGGCTCATCGTCAACACCAAGGACTCCAAGGAAGACGTCGTTGCCGCTGCTGCTGCCGGTTCTTTCTCTCATCTCTATTCTTATATCTTCTTCTTCAATCCCTTTACTCAGTTATCTTTGAATTTATTGTAAATTATCTCTAGGCTAACTCATTCAGTTCATATATATGTTGCAGTTACTGATCATACAGCAAAATGACACAGAATAGTTAAATTTTATTTCCTCTTTTGGTTTTTTCATTGTTTTTCTTAATCAATTTATGCATATGCATATACCAGTTATTCAAATATTTAATCATATCAAGCAACGCAGCAATTCTAAAACCACCAGTTTCACAGCATATGCATGAGTCATATACAAAAATTCTTTTATCTATGTGAGGAAACTAATTCTTCTTTTCTTTTTATATTCTTAGTTAATTGTCTCTAGTCTTCTTTTATGTACTACTACAAGTTAAGAATGATAACGGATATCCGTTACGTTTTAAATATCCATCCTTGTATGAATTTATTTAATTGTTATAATATCTTTAAATTTATATCATTATTTAAATTAAAAAATATTTAAGTATATATTATCCATTTAAATATTTAAATCAATTAAAATATATGTTTATTTTTTTTATTAAAATATAAAATAAACAAAAATTTAATTTAAATTTTAAATTTATTCTTAATTAATAATAAATAAAAATTATATTTTAATATCAAAATCTTCTTTAAACATAAAATTTTATATATTATATACATATAAACAAATTCAAATATTTATTATTATTTATTAAAATTTAAACAATTCTATATATTAAATATTCAAAAAATATTATTTCTATTTGCTCTGGATTTATCACAAATAATAAATTTTTTATTCAAATCTATTAATTATTTATTTATAATTAGTCATATTCAATAAAAACATATTAAATAATAACAAATATTTATTTATTTTCTATTCATTGACGTATCTACTACGATTATACAACTACTTGAGTTGCTTAGAGTTTTTAGATTCTAGCTAGCAACGCCGTGACAGCTGTATTTTCATTGATATACTCCTATCGTTTATGGAGACATAAATGTAAGGATAGATTGTGTTTGGACCAGAGGCATGCCCCTTAAAATAGGGAAGTAGATATGGTTGTGGAGAAGACAATTTACGCACCAATGTCTGGTCTTAAGTAAAATATTCCGGCCGAAGAATTGCCTTCCAACTTGTAATAATAGAACATTTGACCATCACGTGATCTGAAAAGATCCGCCCCTCCATGCTCATTGCTCAACCCTATATTATTATTATTTTTTAATTTTGTTACTGTCTGACCTAGTCAGCAGACAAGTTCCATGTCAATTCAATAATTCCTTCTGTAGCATGTTAATCTTTAAGATTAAGGTTGAAAATTTAAGTAAGAATTTTGTCAATTTGCTTGGTGAACAGCTCTAGAATTGATAAGAAATGTAGAAGTGCAAGCAATCATAGGGCCAAGAAGTTCAATGCAGGCCAACTTTGTTATCAATCTCGGAAACAAATCTCAGGTTCCCATCATATCATTCTCTGCAACAAGTCCTTCTCTTACTTCCCTTCAGAGCTCATACTTTTTTCGAGCTGCACAAAGCAGCTCATTTCAAGTGAAAGCCATAAGCGCCATCGTCCAGGCCTTCGGATGGAGAGAAGCTGTACCCATCTACGTAGACAACCAGTTTGGAGAGAGCTTTATACCTTCCTTAACAGATGCCTTACAGGAGATCAACACTCGCGTCCCATATCTGAGTGTCATTCCTGCGTCTGCTAATGATGACCAAATTGCTGAAGAACTTTACAAGTTAATGACCATGCAAACAAGAGTGTTCATTGTGCACATGACAATGCCTCTTGGCTCTCAGATTTTGGCCAAAGCAAAAGAGATTGGAATGATGAGTGAAGGGTATGTTTGGATCATGACTGATACCATGACTAATCTGTGGAGATCAATAGATGCTTCAGCCATCGATTCCTTGGAAGGGATTTTAGGTGTGAGGTCTTATGTTCACAAATCAGAAAAGCTCGAAAATTTTAAAGGTCGCTGGAAAAGGAAATTCCAGCAAGTCAACCCAGATATTACTAATGCTGAATTAAACATTCTTGGACTATGGGCTTATGATGCAACTTGTGCACTGGCCTTGGCAATTGAGAGAGCTGGCACAGTGAACCTCCGCTTCAACAAAACAAATATTTCCAGCAGTTCTGCGACAAACCTTGAAACATTGGGAGTCTCACAAAATGGTCCACGACTTATCCAAGAATTATCAAACATTAAATTCGGAGGCCTTTCAGGAGATTTTCATTTTGTTAATGGACAGTTACCATCATCTGCGTTCCAGATAGTTAACGTAAATGGAAATAAGGAAAGAAGGGTCGGGTATTGGACACCCCAAAATGGACTTGTAAGAAAATTGGATTTGACAAACACAAGCACAAATTCAACTTCTAAGCCAAAACTTGGTCCCATTATATGGCCAGGGGATACTACCGCGGTTCCCAGAGGTTGGGAGATCCCAACAAATGGGAAGAAATTGAGAATTGGGGTTCCAATGAAAGTTGGTTTTACTGAATTTCTTGATGTAGCATGGGATCCTATGTCTCACAAAGCAATATCAATTGAAGGGTACTGCAAGGATGTTTTCGATGCTGTAATGGCTAAGATGCCGTATGCTATTCCTTATGAGTATGTTCCATTTGCAACGCCTGATGGAAAAGCTGCTGGGTCTTACAATGACTTAACTGATCAAGTGTACTATGGGGTAAGTCTCCTCTAATTCTTCTGTCTATTACTAGCTAGTATTCACTGCTATATATAATTTTAATCTATAGCTTCAATTCGTTTTTTTTTCCGGTTTGGCAATTGGCTGCTATGAACAGAATTATGATGCTGTGGTAGGAGATACAACTATTGTGGCAAACAGGTCATTGTTTGTGGACTTCACATTGCCATACACAGAATCTGGTGTGGCAATGATCGTGCCAATCAGAGATAAAAACAAGAAGAGTGCATGGGTTTTCTTAAAGCCTTTGACATGGGACCTCTGGGTAACGAGCGGTTGCTTCTTTGTCTTCATCGGATTTGTCGTTTGGATTCTCGAGCACAGAATAAACGAAGATTTCCGTGGACCCCCTGCATATCAAGTCGGCACCAGCTTCTGGTTCTCCTTCTCAACCATGGTGTTTGCCCATCGTAATAACCCTTTTACCTTTTCAATCTACAAATTAATATGTTACATTTCGATAAACATTTGAAAAACCCCATTTATTTGTTCTTGAATTGAATAATATCACAGGGGAGAGAGTGGAAAGCAATTTGGCTAGATTTGTGGTGATCATATGGTGCTTCGTTGTTCTCATTCTCACCCAAAGTTACACGGCTAGTTTAACGTCAGTGTTAACAGTTGAGCAGCTCCAGCCGACTGTAACTGATATAAATGCGCTCTTGAAGAGAAGGGAGAGTGTTGGTTTTCTGGATGGCTCATTCGTTGAAGGGATCTTATTGGGGTTGAAATTTACAAACTTCCAGCTCAAGAAATATAAGTCCCCAGAAGAACTTGATGAACTTTTTTCCAAGGGAAGTGCTAATGGGGGTATTTCTGCAGCTCTGGATGAAATTCCTTATATTAAGCTATTTCTTGCAAAATACTGTGGCAAATATACTACGGTAGAACCAACATTCAAAACCGCTGGTTTTGGCTTCGTGAGTTCTCGGCTGGTTTTGGTTTTGGCAAATATAATGCTAGTCACTACATTCCTCCATTCCATATGGTATGAATGCTTAATGTTTCATGTATGCTCATTTATTTATTTTGGTTTTCAGGTCTTCCCTAAAGGTTCCCCTCTTGTAGCAGATGTTTCAAGGGCAATCTTGAATGTTACGCAAGGTGACAAAATGGAACAAATTCAAAAATTCTGGTTCAACAACGAAGGTGTTTGTCCTGACTTCAACCCCTCTGTTTCGTCAAACAGTCTAGATCTTGAGAGTTTTTGGGGCCTGTTCCTCATTGCTGGGGTTGCATCCATATCAGCTCTCATCATTTTTGCAGCAATGTTCTTGTACGAACAAAGGCATGTCTTGTTTCAACTGCATTCTGAAACTTCAATGTGGAGAAGAATTAGGATTATGTCCAGAATCTTTGACCAGAAAGATCTGAGCTCCCATACTTTTAAAAAAAGTGAACTCAGAGATGCAAGCAGCACTTGTAGTGTTCAAAGTATAGGTGTTGTTGGAAGCTCACCTAACACTAACTGCCCGCCAAGTCCATCAAGCTGCTCAAACCAGACAGATTCTTCAGACTTTGTTTCCTTTGTAGAACAAGGAAGGATTGCTGGGCACGGTGATCAGACTCCAAAAGGTTCATCATCTCCAGATATATTCCCATCGCCAGAAAGATCTTCTATTGAGCTAGCTAATTATAGAAATGGCACATGAGCAGAATTGATTTAGAAATTCTCACTGAATTGAGAGCAATTTTAGTAAAAGATGAATGTATAGTATAGGTAGGATCATAATTGGAATGGAAGCTAATAAATTCAGTACTTCAGGTAGCTACTAGCAGCTATTTTGCTGTTAAGATAGCCCTTGTTTTTGTGTTTTGAATTTGAATATATCTGTATTCCAGCTTCCAGGTTGGATATTCTTAACCAAATGCTGTGGTCGGTTCTACGTAAAATCCACTCTGCCTAACATATTGTTCACAAATTAGAGGAAGATGTTCCTTTTTTTTTTTTTTGTGCTTTTAACAATTTTAATTGCACCTGAAACCTACCCATAATATGAAGTTACTTCACCATCTTTGTTCTTAGTTCTTATTTGGCCTAAATATCAGATCGTATGTGTTGTATATAAAGTAACAAATTGAACTTCTCAGGAGTGAAAATGAAACTATTTTATAACTTTTTGGTAATTACTGGAGCAGAAACACCATATTCATAAAGAAACTGCAATATATATCTTTCATTATAACATACTTGCATTGCTTGAATGTATTGGCTGATTAGTAAATGCCACTAGATAACCAATTAGGAAATTGGAAAAAAAAAGTTTTTAATTCAAATTTCCCAGTAGTACCAAATTAATCTTGTCAGAGAAATTTTGTCCCAATTGCTGAGATTATTATGGTAATTGTCATTATTAATTGCAACAAAATCATATGTATGCTACCGAACATGACCATGACTACTATTTTCTCTTATTAATTTTCAAAATGTTTGAATTCAAATTTGGTTCTTCTGTTCTCTGCTCAATTGAAGAAGTCAAAGTGACTGCCTCCGTTTGCAAGTCAAGCATCGGTTAGACTCGGGAAAATAAGAAACATAAAAAATGAAAAAAAAAAAAAAAAAAGTAATGTGTTGCGTATGATATGGTGAAGAGGATGGAAAAGAAAAACAACATCCAAGTTGAAGCTGTTTAGATTTTCTGTGATCTTCACAAATCATATAAATTTAAAGAAAATAAAAGTATATAATTACGAAGAAAGTGCCAGAAAATAAAATATCATTGTGCAAGGAAGGAAAATAAAATACTAGGAGGTCAAATCTTTTGCATTAGTTACCTAGTTTTTTTTAATAAAAAATTTTATTTAAATCTTTCCTTAACTTGCGTTGTTATCAAGGAAAGTGAAGAATCCATAATGGGTAACTTTCTGTTTTAAACTGAGATACAAACTCAAATTATGATTGATTTAAATGAGCTTATTTTTCTCAAATCAAGTGCTTGTGGTAGCTTCATTTATTTAACAATCACATTTCCTTGCAGCTTCCTGGAAAAAAAAAAACATGAACATGATGCAATTAAAATTTTAATTAAGTAGAAAAAGACATTCGCTGCTATTAAACTTATAAAAATGTAAATTTTAGATTTAGAGCTTGTGGAGCCAAATTTTTTCAACTAACATAAAATTATATATATATATATATATATATATATTCATATAATCATTTCAAATTCTACTGAACTAATTAAAGCTACAGAAATTAATTTAATAATGATCTAATTGAATTAAACATTTTATAGGACAAAAACTTGGGAAAAAAAATCGATTTTGTTAACTATCCTATCTACAATCAATTGATAATGGACCAAAATGCTCAACATGAAGATAAATTTACAAAAACAAAAAAAATCTAAAATTTAATAGATATAAAATATTATCATTTTAACAGGTTTAACTAAATCCTGAATTAATATGGTAGTAAATAAAATAATATTTGGTATTAGATATGTAAGATATTTTTTAAAATTACATTCATAATCAATTATTACATTTGTATAATTAATGATTACATTATTAAATAATCAACTAATAAATTATAACATAAATAAACAATTAAATTTATACACAATAAGACTTGAATTTATAACCTTAAAATTTTAAGACCTTCTCTTTGCTACTAAGTCAAAACATCATTGGCATTAAGTATGTAAGATTAATTATTTGATTTATTAATAAAATATTAAGCTTTTAATTTTAATGATTTGAGAGCGATGATAACTCTTTATCCTCTTTATTTATTTATTTATTTATTTTGGCAATGTTTCTAATACTCTCCAACGGTTAGGGACATGTGAAATTTCTCATTGAGCGAGCTGGGCCACCAGCTGCCTCAAGTCTTTGACAGCTTTCGTCCCTTGCCAGGATCATGAGCGATGATGAAGAACTTGAATTGATGCTGGCTGACAAATTAAAGAAAAAGAAATGATCGGAAACTAATTAGCTGTATTACAAAATTTTTGTAGTGTTTCCTTTTGCTTATATTATTTTCTGATATGTCAGATTATTTAAATCTTAATTTTGAAATTAAAATTTTAATATCTTCTTTTTTTTTTTTTGTTCATATTTTGATTTGGTCAAGGTAAACGACTCCAAGATTGAATTACAAGACAAATCAAAATTTGAGCATCAGATCGACATGTCCCCCATGACTGACTCCCACTCCTGTAATTTTCCACTTCTTTGACAAGCCCACAGATTTCCATATTGCCACTCCTTTAAGTGTGGAGGAGGAGGTATTTTATTTTTTACTCTTCAGTTTTGACTCTTTAGATGTGCTAATTGACAAAGTGAAGCCTCTAAATAATTTCCATATCACCCCCCCCCCCCCCATGGAATATGTGAAGCAATGAGGTGGACAATAATTGACAAAATTATAACAAAAAAAATGTATATATCCTTTATATGTTACTTGCATAAACTTTTAATAATGGTATTAAAATTTATTATATATTTTTTAATTTGCTTTGTTTAATTTATACCTAAAAATTTATAATATTAATTTGCTTTTTAAAAATAGTGTGTATCCAAAATAAATCATTGTTGTTTTACTCCGGAGAATGTGTGAAATAATATTGAATAATTAACTATCATATAGTTAGCTATAGAATTGCCTGGTGTAAAATATTTTCTGAAAAAAAAAATAAAAAAAGAGAAAGAAAGTAAGACTATAGAATATATAGCATGAAAATTCCGTGCAATTAAACCATGAAAGTCAAAGAAGAAGGGTTGACTTTGCCCGCATGACTTGTAAATTCTAATTCATGCAATCCTGTTTATATTTTTTTAAAGATAATCCATGCGATTCTTGCGAGCGGTTGTTCCAATATAAGTAGGCGTAGTGTCTTCTTTTCAATGACTCTGCTCAAAAGCTAGCTCAAATAATTAAGATGCAGAAAAGTAACAGCCTCTTTCTCCAATTATTTTGCCTTTTCATCTCCTGCAGGATTTTGTTGATACATGTGGCTGTTGCTCAAAACACGACCATTCCAGTTGCAGTTAATGTGGGAGTGGTTCTTGACTTTGATACACAGCTTGGGAAGATTGGGTTGAGTTGCATTAACACGGCCCTCTCTGACTTTTATGCAGCTCATGGTTCCTATAGGACCAGGCTAGTCTTGAATCTCAGGGACTCTAAGATGGACGTCGTTGGCGCCGCTTCTGCTGGTATATATTTGTTCTCTCTTCCACTTCCCCAATGTAGTCTAACATATAGAAGAAGGAAAATTTAAAGTAATCACAGAAAGTGTTAACCACATGATTTCATTTTCCAATAAGCAATAAAATACTGTTGCCAAATGATTTTTACAAACTAAAAACAATATGAATAACAAGAAATCAAGAATTACAATAGAAATATGTGGCTACTTAGATCCATCTCTTACATATTTCTTTATTAACATGATAAAAATATTTTTTTTTAATCTAACCAATCTTAATCTGACATCATGTTTGATTAGCCTAAAAAATCTGCTAACGAGTTTTTTCCTCAAAATTGTACAGTTTCTTTTTTTCTTTTCTTTTCAAATCATATATATATATATATATATATATGCCCCAAACCAAATGCATACTGATAAAAAAAACTTAATTACGAAAGTTGGATTAATGTACGTTTTTGTTTAGTTTAAATATATAAAAGGGTAGAGAAATAAATGTTGTGAAAAATATATTCCAAAACTATTAAAGTTTTATTTTATTATTTAAGGAAAAAAAAAAGAAAAATAAGAAAGAGAGTTGTGATGACAAAAATGTTAGTACGATGTTACGATATGACATATGTATATATATGCTTATAATTTCTTACGAATATTAATTTTTATGATCTTCTTAAAGTTACCAATAAAATGTAATTGAAGTTATTGGCTTCATATTATTAAACATATCACAGAACAATGTATATTAGTATAGATGATCGAGATCATTAATGAATATTGAAGTCAGAATTTTGCTTGCTTGACAAACAGCTCTTGACTTGATAAAAAATGTAGAAGTGCAAGCAATTATTGGGCCACAAACTTCAATGGAGGCCAATTTTGTTATCAATCTCGGAAACAAATCTCAGGTTCCCATCATATCATTTACTGCAACAAGCCCTTCTCTTACCTCCCTTCGGAGTCCTTACTTTTTCCGAGCTACACAAAATGACTCGTCGCAAGTAAAAGCCATTAGTGCAATTGTTCAACCCTTCGAATGGAGAGAAGCTGTGCTAATCTATATAGACAATGAATTTGGAGAGGGTATTATACCTTACTTGACAGACGCCTTACAAGAGATCGATGTTCGTGTCCCGTACCGCAGTGTCATCCCTTCATCAGCCAGTGATGATCAGATTAGCCAAGAGCTTTACAAGTTGATGACAATGCCAACAAGAGTGTTTATTGTGCACATGCCACCATCTCTTGGCACTCGGCTTTTTGCCAAAGCCAAACAGATTGGAATGATGAGAGAAGGCTACGCTTGGGTCGTGACTGGTGGAATGACTAATCTTTGGAGTTTAACAGACCCCTCCACCATCGATTCCATGCAAGGGGTTCTGGGTGTAAGGACTTACGTTCCCAGAACAAATGAGCTAGAAAATTTCAGAGTTCGATGGAAAAGGAAATTCCAGCAAGACAATCCTACCATTATTAATGCTGAATTGAACATTTTTGGACTGTGGGCTTACGATGCCACTTTTGCACTGGCCATGGCAATTGAGAATGTTAGCATGGCAAACTTCAGCTTCAAGAGAACTAATGTTTCCAGCAGTGGAACAGACCTTGAAACTTTTGGGGTCTCACAAATTGGTCCACAACTTATCCAAGCATTATCGAGCACTAAATTCAGGGGTCTCACAGGAGACATTGATTTTGTTAATGGACAGCTACAATCATCACTTTTTCAGATAGTTAACGTAAATGGAAATGGGGAAAGAAAGGTAGGGTTTTGGACACCAAAAAGTGGACTAGTAAGAGAATTGAATTTGACAAACAGAAGCACTGACTCTACGTATAAGCCAAATCTTGGTCCCATTATATGGCCAGGGGATACCACCTCTCCTCCGAAAGGCTGGGAGATTCCAACAAATGGCAAGAAGTTGAGGATTGGGGTTCCAGTGAAGCTTGGGTTCAGAGAATTTATCAACGTAACATGGGATCCTAATTCTCACAGAGCTACTTCAATCACCGGTTATTCCATAGATGTTTTCTATGCTGTAATGGCTGCAATGCCTTATGCTGTTACTTACGACTTCTTTCCCTTTGCAACGCCTGATGGCAAGAGCGCTGGGACATATGATGACTTAATCTTTCAAGTGTACATTGGGGTAAAACATCTCCTTATCTTTTTATACCTTGAATTTTGTTAATATGATTTTTTTTTCTTATTTTCGGTTGGCAAATATGAACAGGCTTACGATGCTGTGGTAGGAGATACAACAATCATTGCAAACAGGTCACGGTACGTGGACTTCACATTGCCATACACTGAATCGGGTGTATCAATGATTGTACCAATCAGAGAAAACGGGAGGAAGAATGTGTGGGTTTTCTTGAAACCTTTGACATGGGAACTCTGGGTGACAAGTGCTTGCTTCTTTGTTTTCATCGGATTTGTTGTCTGGGTTCTAGAACACAGAATAAATGAAGATTTCCGGGGACCCCCTTCGTATCAAGCCGGCACCAGCTTCTGGTTCGCCTTCTCTACCATGGTGTTTGCACATCGTATTGATTCTTTCACCTTCTCTATTTAAAAAGTTGTACTATTGACTTCACATGTTTAGTTCAAGATTGTTTACTTTCTCTGCTTCTTGAATCGTACTTGCAGGGGAGAGAGTGGTCAGTAACTTGGCTCGGTTCGTGGTAATCATATGGTGTTTCGTAGTCCTCATTCTCACCCAAAGCTACACGGCTAGTTTAACTTCACTTTTAACCGTTGAACAACTCCAGCCCACCGTAACTAACATATTTGAGCTCTCAAAGAAAGGGGAGAAAGTTGGTTTCAAGCAAGGCTCTTTCGTTGAGGGAATCTTGAAGGGGTTAAATTTTGCTGAATCTCAGATTGTTAAATATCAGTCTCTGGAAGAACTTAATGATCTTTTTACCAAGGGAAGTGCCAATGGTGGTATCGCGGCTGCTTTGGACGAAATTCCTTATCTGAAGCTCTTTCTGGCGAAATATTGCGACAAATATACCACAGTCGAACCAACGTTTAAAACTGATGGCTTCGGTTTCGTGAGAATTTCCTCTCTCATTTTCAAATCTTTTCTCTACCTGCTGTATGCAATGTTTCTTTTTTGTTGATACTGTTCGCAATTTACAGGTGTTCCCTAGAGGTTCCCCTCTTGTGGCATATGTTTCGAGGGCAATCCTTAATGTTACTGAGAGTGAGAAAATGAAGCAAATTGAAGATGCATGGTTCAAGAAGGAAAGTTGCCCTGATCCCAACACTTTGGTTTCTTCCAACAGTCTTGGTGTTGAGAGTTTTAGGGGCTTGTTCCTCATTGCTGGGGTCGCTTCACTATCAGCTCTTATCATATTTGCAGCAATGTTCTTGCATGAGCAAAGGCATGTCTTGTTGCGCTTCAATTCTGAAACTCCTATATGGAGAAGAATTCAAATAATTTCACGAATCTTCGATCAGAGAGACCTTAACTCCCATACTTTTAGAACAAGTGAACTCGGTGACAAAAGCGGAAATGATAATGTTCATACTATAGGCGTTGCAGGAGACTCCCCAAATACTAAATGCCCTCCAAGTCCATCAAGCTACTCAAACCAGACACAGCCAGACTTTGTGTTATTCGTAGATCAAGGAAGAGCAGCTGAAAATGGTGATCTAACTACAACAACTGTAGCATCTCTTGACATAATCCCATTTCCCGAAAGACGTTCTATTGAGCTTGATAACAAAAATGAACCCAGAGAACAATGGGTGTAGATATTCAAACTTCTTTTGCTTTTGATAAATGTATTTTATTATCCAACAAGGAGAAAAAAATTCTGCTACTGAAAAAAACTATACAACCAATGGAAGCTAATGTGCCCTCTCAATTGCTACAAAACAACCTAGTTGCAGGTGTACCAGGAAAATTAAAAACAGACCATCTAATTTTTACATAAAAAATAATATATTGTTATGTTTTTAACCATTACAATTACACAATAAACTGACTGAACAGCAAACTGGAAGTCCAGGTTATTGAAATGTTGGTTGAAATATAAAGGAGATAAGATTTGGCAACTTACCCTGTTGATGGTTCAAAATCTGATTCAGCAATATTTGAAGTTTGAGCTCCCAAGTCAGCTAATGATCAGGTTTTGTTTGGGAATATTGTTCAGATTACCATACATTTGTCATGGATGAAGGGATTATAACTTAAAATTCTCTTTTCCAACAACCATTTTGAATGGAAGGCAAAAACTAAAACAGAAAACAAAGGATATATATTGTTAATTTTAACTATTGGATATATTAAAATGTTATAATGCATGATATAGCCTGGCTTCTCGGTATTAATTTTAACTTTATGTGCCATTATTTAAATTTCTTTCCCCAGTGGGAGGAAAAAACAGGTTATTACATTAGAACATTCCATTAGCTTCATTCAAGAAATAATTATGCAGCTTCCAAAAGACCAAGAGAAGAATACTTCATGATTTCATTGACACCCAATTACCAGAATTTTAAATTTTGCACTATCAAGATGATATTTATCTTCACTTGCCTTAATGTCCTAACTGCCAGATCATTCCAGAAACTTAATCTGACCTCGCAGAAAAAGTTATTGGAGGCAGCATAAAACAAATGAAATATAACTATAAAATCTAATGAGATGCTAATGGCTGAGAAGAAGATGATACATTGACAAAACTTTCCTGACATGCTGCCATTTTTCCATTCACATGCATTAATTTACAAGAGGTATCATGGCAAATATTGTTCAAGACACTCTTTTAGTTTTTGGAAAGTTACGGGTTTTGAAACAAATGAGTCCATACCATTTGCAAAACACTGATCAGCACTCTCTGACAATGCATTTGCAGTCATCTGCATTTGTACAAACAAATTTTGTTAGTGTATGCATACAGAGTAACATATAGCCATTACAATAATGAACTTAATGTTATGATTGCAGCTTATAAAGAATAATCAGAATCTATATGATTTTTGTGATAAAATGTGCAGCATTTGTAAGGAAACTGAAATAGGAAGAGAGAGAATAAAGTATATAAATTCAATTTGAGGGCAGTAAAAGTGATGGGCTCACCGCAATTATGGGAATCCGCTTTGTTGGAGGTTTATAATCTGGTTGCAATGAATCAGAAGAAGGCAAACGTTGCTCTATCCCAGCCTTTGTTGCTGCATCCCATTTACCAGTTTCTTCAAAGGAACGAATCAATCTTGTTGCTTGAAGGCCATCCATGACTGGCATGCAGACATCCTGCAAGAGAAATGTTGTAAATGGTTACCAATAAACTCAAGTCAGTAAAGCAGCTTTTAGAATTCAAATGCATACAAGATATTTCATCTTCTCGAAATATGGAGCTAGCTTTTCTTTATGTTTTCATCATTACAGAAACAAATCATAAGGTTTATTGAAGACAGTAAAATTTGGGCAAATTTTAACCCACTAAGAAGAAAGTCATATCTGCGGGAGGGGAGGAAAGAGAGGAAGGAATTGAAAGATCCTGAAAGAATTACCATCAGGACGAGATCATAACTACAGCATTGAACGGCACGGACAGCTTCAAAGCCATTGTTCACAACATCTATTGTGTGGCCTAACTGCTTCATCATTGACTGTGTCACCATTACATTAATCTTATTATCTTCCACAAGTAGGATCCTAGGCTTTGAGATAGAATTTGATAATTCTCGACTGCTGTTTAATGTGGACTGGGAACCAATATCAGATTTCTCCTGCCTCTTAGATGGGAGCTGGGGCTCACTTATCTTCATTTTCACATCCACCTCTCTGCTTGTCTGTGAGAGACTTGACACATCTCTGGTAGAAACTTTGTTCTGAGCGTTTGCTTCATTTTGATGATGCTTGTCTCTGCAAATTGCACTTTCATCATCAGGGTCTGGGCTGTGACTAAATGAACTTTCAGGCTCAGATGATATCTCTACGGCTTCAGCCACAGAACAAGCATCCTCGACTAAATCCACCTCCTTGGTTCGACCATTATTCATGGGAAATGAATAACAATTATCTGAGAACCCATTAAGTTTCTGCGAATTTGCATAGCCAATATTTTGTGGTATTAATTTTTGGGTTCTGCTAGATCCATTAGAAGAAAATAAAGAACCCAAAGTGTGTGGCTGGAATTGGAAAAAGCCAGCACTTGCATCATCATTTGTAGCACCACGATCAGCCATATCTGAGAGATCATCTTGGTCATCACAATGATCACATGATAAAGAAACCTTGTAAGGTAGGATAAACGTAAATGTAGAACCACAATGCACTCGGCTAGACACGGTAAGACGGCCGCCCATTAGCTCAACCTATAGCAAATGGATGGAATGTTAGGACTTAGGTTTAGTACCAGCAAGAGTATCATTCAAATCTCTGCAATTATTGGCAACTTAAATTTCTCAAGTACAAGAAAAACATACATAAAAGTCATAGAATCACAATCTTCCCAACTTTTTAATGATCTAGAATTTACCATTGTTGAGGGTAATGTGCTGTAAGCAAATTTCCCCTTTCCATACAAAATCTTAGCTTATAAATGTTTCAGATATTTTGGCATGTTCGGAGCAACAATGTATTAAAAAGGAACTAGAATAAGTTGAAAGCACTGAAACAAACTATTTATATTCACAATTATATGATTTTCGGTCCATTAACCACAGAACTAGGATGGATAGTTAAATTAATATTGAGATTTATATCACAATTATCTGACCTGCCAGACTTATTCTTTAAGCAGAGGTAAGAAGAGAGAAGGCAATTAAGCTACAAGCCACTTTAGATTAATCCTTCTTTGGCAGTATCAAATGCAGAAAGAAAATTCAAAACCAAATAAAACGTTATTATTGATGGAAGGGAGACTTCACCAGTTGTTTACAAATTGCAAGGCCCAGTCCTGTCCCACCATACTTTCGGGCATGATCAGCACTGACTTGCATGTACTTTTTAAAAAGAGTGGGTAAAGCATTTTCTGTCACAGTAAGGCAGGAAAATGTATCAAGTACTCCGCATCCTGAATCAACTTATATGTCTAATAAAATCTCAGATTTCTTGTGATAATGTAATGATTAAAAACAAGAATACGTATGTACCTGGTATTCCAATTCCAGTGTCATATACATCACAGCGTATCCACACTGTTGTTTCAGGTAACTCTGCTTGCTCCTCAATTCCATCTATTGTTCCATTCATGGCTGGAGTAACAGGTTCACTAAGTGAATGGTTTTGACAAGAACCTTCATGTTTCTTACCATGAAATCCTTTCTGATCACTGCTCGTTTGAGGTGTTGATGTACATGTCTCTTCTTTCGCTACATTAGTAGTAGATTGATTAGCAGTTGATCCATCAGATCCATGCTGAGATCCTTCTTTTGCGAAAGGGGGCTCCGGTACTACATAAAGTTTTACTCCTACCTTCCCTTCATGTGTAAACTTGATCGCATTGCTGAAGAAAGAAAAAGGTTTTAACCAACATGAGAGAAATGAAAGTGATAAATAGTAAAAAATTCAAAAAGCTTTTCTCAGCAGAATTGTTAGAACCAGTAATTTCCAAAAGACTAAAACTACTTTCACACTTGCAGTAACGCATGTTATTTAATTCTCTGAACGATCGGTTATTCAATCCTGACTAATGCTGCTAGTGCAACCTGTCTATTCCAAAAAATATTTTGATGATAATCTACAGAAATGAAACAGAAGTCGCGACTTTTCATAATTCAATACCTGATCAAGTTGGTGAGAATTTGTCGAATTCTCAGCACATCTCCAATAACCTGAAATCAATATATAAAGTTCCAACGAGTAGGAGAGGATGAAGAAAGGAACTTTAATGTGTAAATATAATACTGGATGGAAATGCGTCACAAAAGTCTCACCTCAATAGGAACATCATCTGCCACATTTCCTTCCAACGTAAGAATCTTTTGCAATGATGCTGCAGCTGTCTGAAGAACATGCTTTACCACCTCTCTTGGTCGGAATTTTGTAGTTTCCAACTTCATAACACCTAAAGAAACAGAGAAAAGAATATAAATTTAGAACTTCCAACAAATGAGAATGATAACCTGTCTATGATTGAGCAGAATATGAAAAATGATGTGATAGTGAATCAGAAACAGAATTTTCTAAACATGCTTTACAAGATCATTTTAAGACCAGATCTCTCACACATGTAGCTATATATACTACACTAAGTTCAACTTCTGATTCTTGTGTAATATTAGTATTATTATCATTCTCAAGAGTTGTGATGACAAAAACAATCAGCTCTAAGAAATTAATATACACAGTTGAAAATTGAAAACTAACATGAGGATAAGCTTTTCATGCAATTTGGGAGTAAAATCCAAACCTGATTCAACCTTTGAAAGATCAAGGATATCATTTATAAGTTGCAGGACCAAATCTCCTGAAGATAGCATGACATCTAACAATTGTCTTTGCTCTTGGTCAAGTTTTGTTGTGGCCAGGATCTCAGCCATGCTAACAACCCCAGATAGAGGGGATCTTATCTCGTGAGACATGGTTGCCAGCATCTGTTTTGCACGCATTGTCTCCTCTAGAGAAAGTGTAAAAGGGCAAGGCAGAGTTACTTCAGTGCTTTAAAAGGCAGCTAAAGAGAAATTCACAAATATTCAGTCGTCACAGAGTAAATGAAACCTGTTATGTGTATCGTTTTATTCAGTTCAGTTTCCTTTGCCTTTTGTACCGCAATCTCCTCCCGAAGCTTTGCCATCTTTTCCCTTTTCCTTACCTATTGTGCAATCAGAAACATAAATACCCATTCTTATCCATCTCAATTAATAGCTAGACAGCCAATATGAACAAAATGAATATACCTGATCTGTTATATCCATGCCCATATAATTTATACCAATAGTCTCCCCAGACTTGCTAAAAACAGGTTCCACGTATATCAAAAATGTCTTTGACCCAAATAGTTCTGTCTCAAATGTGATTTCCCTCTTAGCAGGTAAGCCTTTTTCCATCACTTCTTTTTTAAAATCCTGAGACTCCTTAACACCAGATCCAGTAAAAATTTCCACATCTGTTTTTCCTAAAATGTCCTGAAATAAGAACCCATTAAGTTTCTTATGTTACTTACTATAAATACAGGACTGCAGAAAGTGAGGGAGGAAGGCACAAAGGAAACAAAATTTTAATGAGGACAAAATACGTGCTCGCAACCAACACTTCAACAAAAGATTATAAAACCTTGAATAAGAACTTCTGGTACAATAAATTACCTCCTCTTGTAAACTTGGAAAATGGTTATAAATAAAGCGATAACGTAGCTCTTTATCCTGAAAGTTGATCAAAGAAGTAGTTTCATTAGTTAAAAGATTATACAATATCTCATCGTACTCCAGCTAATTGTGGAATTTGTACTCGTTTGATATCTAGTTATAGGCAAAAGAAAAGCTAAAAATTGAGGATTTGAGTACTAGCTCAAGTCAGCATATGTGGATTCTTGGCTTAAATGATGCATCTGATGATTTCTCATTCAGCTCACAAGATAACATATTGAACAACTTTTAAATTGACATTACTCAACAACTTATGCAACGAATTAAGAATGTTAACGGAACACCGTTCAAAGTATAGGCTTAGATCACTAAAAGTTTATTTGTGAGGCACTAAATCTTCGTTACCTGATGACCAAAAACAACGGGTGCATTTTGAAGTACAAAATGTAAGAAATTATCTGCTCTTTTAAGAATCTGCGACAACTCTTCGACTGGTGAGGACTGTTTTTCCAGATTTTTTATGCTTTCCTGCAACTTTTCCTTAAGTAGCTGCTCTCTCTGCATGCTTGCTTCCAACATTTTCTCCAAATGCATGGCTAGCTGTTTCCAGTATACGACAGTGTCATATTCAGCATCAATTTCAACTCTTTTACTTGGAACCACAACATCATTTTTCCTACAAGGAACTTCTTGCCATATATCATAAACATCATCCAGTATGGAAACTGGGCGTTTATCACGTCCATATCTTTCCTCCTCAAAACGATGTTCCTCCAATATCTCCAATTTCTTAAGCCAAGATTCTTGCCTTTGCCTGCTTAGATTGTCAAGTTCTTCTCTAAGAAGACGAACAGCATTTGCTTGCTTATATTCCCAGTGTTTTGCAAGGTATGCTAACTGAGACGAGCCTTTGTCAGTATAACTAGTTAGCTCTAAAAGATGCTGGAAATCAAGTATACTTGGCTCCTCTACAATTGTAACCTCCTCCAACATATCTTGGTCACCTCTTGGCTTTTCTACATTAAACTGCTTTCCTGCTTCATGTTCAATATCTTCAGGCCACATTGAAGACAGGACTTCAATTTCCATGTCCTCAATTTGATCGGTCTCCATCTCACAAACCATGGAAGTTACTTAATTGCTACCTGTTTGAATTGTTCAGAACATAAATTACCATCAAAAGATCACCAAACTGCCCTGCAATACTCCCTTGTATACTTCTAGTATATCCAGTTATGTGTATAACGCATATTTTAATCAGAACAGAACCTGCAGGAGAATTTTAATTTAAGAATGTTATATTATATATCCATATTATGTTATAAGAAAGAAAAATAAAGCACCGAACTTTAGCCTTGAAAAGAAACGAATTGATTCTTTGATTTGTCCAGGCTTATTACTTCATTTCAAATCAAATGTTATTTGACAGAGAATTACATTATAAAGATGCGCAGTTCTTGGAACAGAGAAAGTTGTTAATAATAGCAAACCATGGGAAACAAAGAGAAAAAAATAAGATAGAAATGTTCACTAATGGGGAAAATCATCAATTGAAAAAGAAATGAACTGTGGAAATCTCTTTATTCTACGGAAGTCAAAAAATTCCAAAAGTTGATTGAGTTTTATATATTAAGAGATGCAAAAAAAAGTTTTTTTTTTTAGAATGTGATATCATTCAATTGAGGCTAACATCAATGAAAGTTCATATTTTTTAAGCCAATTGAATGATAGCCTCAATTAAAAAATATGAACTTTCATTGATGTTAGCCTCAATTGAATGATATTACATTCTAAAAAAAAATGTAAAAGGGATTCAAGAGAATGAAGATGGGATAAAAATGAGATCCATTGAACAGAACAAGCGAAAAACAGGACCAATAATAAAAAGGTGAAATCCAACCAATAACCACGATTTAACAAACACATTAAACGTATTTGGTTTGAATGAAATTTAATCAGTCAATCAATTAAGATTAAGCAAACACAAACAAACACATTAGTAAGCTAACCTTTGAGATTGAACCACAACCAATCCTGCAAAGAACAGAATCTTCAGAAGAAGAAGAAGAAGAAGAAGCAAAAGGTTGGCAACAACAGCCAAAACTCAAAACACTCTTCACTGTAGATCTGAGGAATGTCTTTCTCTTCAACTATTGAGTCAATAGCCCTCAAATGCTAGTGAGAAACTCTTTTTTAATAAAAAAAAAAAAAGCCTGAAGCAGCTAAGTATTGAAAGGATAGAGAAAAACGAGAAGAGTTATTTTAAGAGAGAGGGAGGAGAGCATGTGATTGAAAAGAAAAACAAAAATGTGGGATAGAAGGGGAAGCTCAAGATGCCATGTGCGATCGGAGGTCAAAAACATTAGACAATTCTCTCATTCTTGGCATTTTTTCCTTCTTAATTACTTAGTATTTTATTTCTATGCCTTTGCCTCTCTTTGCTTTTTTTTTTTAGGTTATGTTCAAAGTTTCTTCTGCAAAAAAAAAAAAAAAACCACTCAACATTGAACTGATTATCGTTGTTTGAGTGTTATTTGCGACTTCTCTTCTTCTTCTCTCCCTCGGGGAGAAAAAAAAAATCACTAAAATCAGAAAAATAAGTAACTTTGAGAGACAGACAGGGAGAGTTATTTTAAAACGAAGGAGGCCCGCCCTTTACTAGTCCTAGGTGACGTGTTGGGACGGCGTGTGGCTATGACGCGCAAAGGTGGTGACGATGATTATTCAATCTAGTAACTAATAGTAGTACATTTCTTTTTTGCTGTCTCGCAGCAGCACTGGGTATTTATTGGTTAGCCACCCATGCCATACTAAACTAAACTTTAGGAAAGCAAATGGAAATGGGATGGTGTGGAGAATCTTAGTATTTATAACCTTTTAGATTTAAACCTAGATTAGTTTTATTGCTTTGGGTTAGATCACCTTTATGGTTGGCTTTGTTATGATCTATGGTTTAAACAAATGTTTTCCTTTCTTTATGGTGTAATTAATTATTTGATCAACTAAAGTATAGCATGACTTTAACGGTTAAGCTTTGTTTATTAGGAAAGACGAAAAGGGATGAAGGTTAAAATTTTGATAATTTAATGATTAAGTTACAAAATTAAAAAAAAAAATTATAAACTTTTTTTATTAAATTAACAAATTTTTTATTCTCATTTTTTCCATCCTTTATATCAAACAAAACTCTAGTAAGACGGGCCATTCTCAACATTTCTTTTGTCTATTAGGTTCATGGTGCAGACTATGCAATAACTCATAAAAATTCATGAATAATTGATAGGTTCGACCATTGATGCAATAAAGCTACCCGAAAAAAAAAAGGGGGGGGGGGGTTTAATTCAGACAGTAAACTGCTATGATGTTTATTGGTTCATGATTTTCTGTGTAGGAGAAAGATGCATTGGTATCATGAGTTTGAACTGAATATTTAAGGTAAGTTTGATTGGTGAAAAATGAAATAAACCAATTATGCAATAAATAATTATAATCATGTTTAAGATTCCCTCATGAGTGGGTATGTGACTATAAGTAAAATAATAATGGTAGGATATTAGTTTTAGTGGCCATTTGTGTCGAAAGAAAAGGAAAAAAAAAAAAAAAAAGGCAAAGAATTCAACATAATTTATGTGAAGTTGAGAAAAGAACTGTTGATGGACAAGGAGTGGTATAAATTGGCCTGAATGCTCATAGTTTATGCAATTAAACAACTAAGCCCTTCCAACTTAATTTCATTTTTTTTTCTTCTCTTCGGAGACATTGTCTGGTAGTATACAGCAGCCGCTCCACGTGTGACAGCCTGCTGACCCACCCATAGGATGCAGCAGCAGCTCCCATGGCAGGAGGTCAACAGTTAATGTAGGAGCAATTAACAAGGGAATAAGGTTCCATGAATTGGGTTCAAATTCATCATATTCTTTAGCATTGGCCTTCAAATAATCATGATTTTTATCATTCAAACTTTAAACAGCAAGCTACCTGTTTGGTGGGTGGGAGACTGGAGTGGGGGAGGAAGAATGGGAAGGGCGGTTTGCCAGCACATTTCCTACAGTTATTTATTTTATTAGGCCATATATAGCCTTTTACAATTAAACGCCAATCTAATTTCACTACAAATTAAGTTGCTTTCACTTCACATTATATTTAATTTAAGGCGACGGCACTAGAATATCGCAAGGTGATAGTAGATAAATATATCTTATAAATTAAGGAGAAAACCAAATAAATAAATAAATAAATAATAAAAACTTATTTACGCAAGATTTAGCCATCGATGTCTTTGTATACCGTTGTAAGTTGCAAACTAATAATTCAACGTTTTATGGTGAGACGACAAGAATTTGTAATGCATTAATGATTAGCTTTGGCAGAGCAAATTAAATAAATAGAAGGAGAGCGAAAGCGACGTACGGCACAACTCTTAAACCTGTGGCTAGCAATAAAAAACGTCTCTCCTTTTTTTTGGACTTATATATATAGCATTAAAAATTGTAACTAATAAACGTATTTATATAAAATACAGACAAGGAAAATGTTGTAGTGATTGTGATACTTTTTAAGGGAGTATATTACTTATAATTATTATAATATAATTAATCGATCATAATTTAATATCATATAAAATTTATAAAATATCATATAAAATTCATATTTTTAAATATAAATTTTTATATATTGTCAGTTTTCAATTTCAATGTATAAATAATATATTCTAATATATTCATATTATACTAGTATTAAATATTAGTAATATATGATTTATGAGATTGCGAATTATAAAATCAGTGCCCTGTAATTTTTATAATTAATTCTCAAAAAATGTTTAATTAGAATTAAAAATAACTGGAAAACCAAGTTATTGAAAATTAAATCTTTTTAATGATAATTACCAATCATAAATATCTACCGTCTAACATAATACTAATTTTATCTGTAGACTTCTATCTTGGTGACATGGCTGTTTTAAAACATATTTTTATTAATGTTCTTGTTTTATTTTAAAATACATAAATCTATCTATACATGAAATCATATAATATTAATTATTCATGATTTTAATCATTTATGAATTTATGATATCAATGAACTTAATTAACCATGGACATATTTCAACTATTCATGAATTCAAAATTTCATGGATTGATGGATTCTTGAACTCAATTAATAGTAGATGAATATATTTTTGTGTTTTGTATCATTTAAAATTTGAGTCTAAATTCATATATATTATTAAGTAATCATAAATTAAATCCAAATTAAATGAATCTAATTATTCACAAATTTAATCATTAATAAATCTATGATATCTACGAACCCAATTAATTATAAATTAATATACTTAAAATGTATTTAGTACATACAATTATGATAGAATAAAATAAGATGATATTATGGGTATGATTAGATTAAATAATATTATTTTATATTATAAATACTATTAGATCGAATAATATTATTTTATCTTATATTTTATATGTATAAAGATTATAGTAATTTAATTTATTGATTACTCAAAATTATATTTTCTTAAAATTTATATAATTTAAATTATTGATGTAATTTTGAAAAGTATAATAAGACATGTAAGTTTAATCAAATGAATTAAAAATAATTTTATCAATTTTAAGAAAATTGAATTATCATATACCCAAAAGATGATTAATTTTTTTAAATACAAATTAAATATAATAAATAATGATTATCATTTATCTTACCAATTATTTTATGTTTCAAATATAATCTTAATATTCAATATAATTTAAATTTAACATATTTATTAGATAATATAAATATCTGATAATAAAATCAACGCATTAAAAAAATAATATCCCTCTCCAAATAAAAGCAAGGTCAGCTGCTTATCAACCCAATAAAAACTGAACGTGAGATATAATTAAGTACTGTAATGTTGGAATATAAAGAAAGAGGAGTAATTGGAGGAGACAGAATCCTTAATACACGGATTAGTTGAATCATAAACAAAATTTGATTAACGCGATACAGTCCCATTCACTACAAAATGTTTATAATTGATATGTTTGGAGGATTTATTATTAGTTAGTGCAGATGATTACAGATATTATGTATTAAATTCAATTTTATGCGATTGAAAACTATATACGTTTTTGGCAGTGTGTAAGAGCTTTGAGTTCATCCATGTGCCCCCCGCCCCCACCCACCCAGCTGCAATTAGAAAATGCCCTGGCTCATAGTTATATGTAGCTTTGTCGTTATTTATATAGTTTTTCAAGGCTTAGCTAAAGTT